TCATCATTCTATCCTAATAGTTGATGGAAAATTATTTTTTCTTAGATTTAAGCACTTCAGTAAAAGATAGATAAATCTAAGGTAAAAGCAAGATGATGGTCATGATAAGGAGCGGTGGGACTAGAGGAAGATAAAGGTTGAGCTGTAGATAGAGAAAACAAAGGTCAAGTTTCCATGGTAATAATAAAATAGTATTCACACTTTGAGATTTTAACATAGGACTGTTGCCTCTGGTCTCAATGCTAATTGTGATTTTAAACTAATGTAACACGTCAGTATCTTATAATGATCCTAATAGTGCTCAAAGATTGCGTATAGCATGTTAGCAATTTGGTCAATTCCCCAGAAGTATGTTCAAATATCTTTAGGTTATAATTTAGATAATGTGTCATCTAAAAGAGCAATTATTCCTCATCATCCACCTCGTGCCAATTTACTAAAGTTAGCAGATTTGACCTCATTTAGACCTACTTCTTTAGTGTATGATTGCAGTCAAGTTGGACAAGTTCCACATTGAGAACAAGCACTGATGCCTCAGCAGCAGTTGGGTAATTAGTTAAAAGTTCATGAAAATTATGGCAGATGTGTGAAGCACATGGTCCTGTGATTTCACATGGAACCAAGCACACTGTCATCACTCAGATGTGAAATTAATAATAATACAAGCATCCCTTGCTCAACAGAAGTTGAACTGCTCTCAGTTGCAAGTAAAGTCACAGATTCATTCTCTGGAACCTCTGTTCCATCCTCTCTTTCCACACAATCTGGTGTGGGGATATATTGCTTATTTAGAATGTCTAATTCTCTGTATTGTATTTGCTACTGTCAAGCTCTAGTAACTAGCTACTATCTGACAGTAAATATTTGGGCAGGGAGAAAAAATACGATTTTAATGTGCTGAGAACGTACCGAAACACTAATCACTAGGAACAGAGAAATCAACACAATTCATCTGCTAATTAGCATCACACATTAGCCGATTAGAAGCAAAACACCGCAGCTTGGAGCACTGGGAAGATGACGATAGAGAAGATTATAGGAGTAAGCAGGCTATTATTTCTCACGGAGTAAGTATTTGAACAGCTTGTAGGATATGCTCCAAGGCTGGCTTTTACTGCTGCCTCTGGAAAACTTGAGCATTTTCTCACCTGTGACTGTTTACAGACAGGTGTCCTGATTTCTGCTACCAAAAGGATTTCCATGGAGCAATGAGGGTTGGGCAAGGCTTCCTCTTAATCTTTCAAATAGCCAAAGCTATGAGAGGGAAACACGGTTCCCCACAGAAGTGTTCCCATGAGAGTCTCACAACATAAATAGGTGACAGCCCAAGTTTCCCCTACAGGGATGATGCAAAACCAGCTCCATCTTGGAGCTGAAATGTACCTTAAAACTCCCCCAGAGAGCAAAGCTCAGCAGCACCCACAACTTTCTTTGCCACAGTGACATCCTCCTCCCTCTGACATAGGTCACTTCCTCATCTAAACATAATATAGAAGGTGCCTCCAGCTATGAGTTACCTAGCAACTGAACTTTCATTTATTCATCCAGCATGTTTTTACTGAACGGCTGCTATGTGCCAAAAATGAGTCCAATGGGGAAGGATGTGAGCCATAATATTCTATCTAGAATAATGAGTTCATCAATTGGATCTTCTTCCCCAACTCTTTCCTGACCATCTTCATTTTTCTGACCACATTGTTCTTCCTTAACTGTGAGGTACACGGCACTAAAATGAGGGCAGGACTTCTTAATTCCCCTCCCCGCTCTGAAAGAGCTGACAGATCTTTTCTAGGACGAACTTCATTTCTTCCACTAAGTTCTCAAAGGAGCATAAGTCCTCCAGTGAAAAGGTGTTGAACATAAACATGTAGCAGTGGCTGTATTATTTTTTAAGGTGATACCAGTTCTTTTCTCATACGTCCTTCCCAGGATTTGTACTTTAGAAATCCTGACTTTCAGAAGTCTTTCTTTTCACCTCTAACTCTAAGACTTTCTACTCTCTTTTAAGTTCACAGCATCCTTTCAAGAGATATTTTAAATGATCACACACCCCCTATAAAATAAGAGTTGTCTGGAGTAAGTTACCCATATAGCCTACCAAGATTTGTGACTGATTTACCCAAGCTAGTTTAGAGAATGTGGATTCCAGAGGAACCAGGATAAGTCACAGTCAAGGAATCAGTTTAACTAGACTGACATTCCCAGTAAACATTTGATAAATGGGGCTGATGGAAGCACTTTCTTCCTGGATATTAAGGCTTCTGTGGATGTGTTTCTCCATCCCATCCCACTACCTTCAGAGGGAAGGTAGGATCCTTAATCTGAACGCAAGGATAAAATCTTCCTGCATTATGACAAACTTTGACAATAAGGCAGTCCTCCAAACTGCTAAAGGCAGAGTGACGGTTTCATTTTTAAGCACCTAATTATCTCTAAGTGATAAAGTACCCAAACAACCTTGTTGGTTTTAGAGAGCACGGCCTCCCCCAAGACTCAGTTCATCTCCGTTCAAGTTGGCTGCGCCCTCTCTCCATCCTCCTTCTCCCCTCCTGGACTCTGGCTGGCTTTCCCAGTTTCAAATCTTCTGCAGCTTTTCTGGTAAACTGCAATGCTTATCAACCAGCCTCCTTATCCTTGGGGGCGTATTGAATATCAGATGAAAACACTGTAGAATTGGACAAGCAATTATTTAGTTTTATAATAATTTCTAATGATTAGAGCAAGCCGATTTTCACTTGCAGCAGTCAGAGATGAGGAAAAACTGAGATGAGCTCACCAGTCCTTACTTGATTTTCAGCAGACTGGGAACAGAATGTGATCTGCAAGTTGCATGGTCCAAAGAATACAAAAAGAAACGCAAGCCAATGCAGCATTTACGCTAAGCTTAGTTGTCTTTTTACAAAATCATGCTGGTCAAGATCTCTCCAGTTGTTGTTTCTTCAAAGTGGCTCTTGCCTGTTCTAGCTACCACTGACCAAAGGAATTCCCAGGACACAGTGGGTTCAAGGAGAGTCATACAATGATCAAATGAAGTCTGTGGTTGAGAGCCTTACATGATAGCCATTCATCCAGACGGCACAGATTGGCTGCAATAGCACCTTAGTTGGGTCTTTGCATATATATGAGATTAACTGACCCCCTCCATTTCAGATTTAACAGTGCCCTGGAAGCTTGGTGTCCAGCCACTGCCTGAGGAGGCCATGTCTGAGCCAACCCCTCATGGCATTTTTTAACAAGTTGCCTTGTCACTGCCATCAAGAAAGTCAATTGGCCACCACACCATATGCTGAGTCTTCTATTCTTTCATCCTCCTATTTTTCCTTAAAGCAATCACGTGTCACCTTAAAAGTTTAGCATCACCCACCTCACTATTTTGAGGAGAGGTGCATTGATTCTTTTATTCATTCATAGGTAGTTCTCAACCTCAATTTAAGAAAAAAAGGGAAAAAATTACAAAATTTATACCAATTTATGAGACCTCATTGTGTGGAGTTGTAGTACTTATTTGTCATTTGGTTAATCCCTCATCCTGTCCAGGAGGGGGAGACTTCATTGGTGGTTGGTAAAACTTCTTCCTCCAACTGCTCCGAGGAAGACCCATCTCTGGCTCCAAGGCCGCCCTCTCTTATTCTAGGTAAGTTCTATTCTCTACAAAAGACTGGAGAGGAGCAGAGCTGCTGGACCAGGAGAGGCCGAGGGCAGGATCCATGTGGAAGCACTGTTCCTGCCTTTGCCTTCTGAACAGCAACAGAGGATGCTTCCCCTCAGGTTAGCCCAAATGAAGCCACCCTCCCTCTCCCTGTCTCAGATTCAGAGAAAGAGAGGAACAGCCAATTAACCAAGGAGACGTTTCTTGTGGACTCTAGAGAAAGAATCTTGACTGCAAGTCCTCACGTCACACTATTATTATCAACCATTATCCTTCAGAATTTGCCATTATGAGGAGCAAATGCCATGAATAGAATGATGGAAACATCCATATCTAAGTAGACCTCTCAAACTCTCTGCTGTATTCACTTTTTAACAGCAGATGACCATTTACGAACTCTTAAATTGACTAGGCTATGTGGTGAGTTAATCTAAACATGTGCAAACTGAGATCATTTATAACAAGGATATATATGTGCTTTGTTTCTTTTTAGGTAATTTTTGTTCTCTAAAAAAGCTAGGGGGAAAAAAGCCAGTTTCAAAATCCTTGGAAGCTTTTATCCACTTGGAGATAATTTTATGTTTCAGAATCACTTTGTGACTTAAATTGCTTCAAAAATATTTTACCCTCAAATGCCCAATGTGTTTTCAAAATGGAAAGATCAACGTGCCCATCAAACCCCTTCATGAAGGGTATACTCTAATCTTATCTGCGTAACCTGTCCCCCTAAAATAGGATTATCAGAGAAAATACAAGCCGCCCAATTAAATTTGAATTTCAGATAAACAACCAATAACTTTTTAGTATAAGAATGTTTCAAAAATTGTATGCAGAATACTTACACTAAAAAATTATTCATTGTTTACCTGGGCATCCTGTATTTTATTTGCTAAATCTGGCAACCCTGCCTCGAAGAGAAGTTGTGAATCTCTGACAGTCCCTATCACCACTCACCAACTTCATTCCATTCCTAATTTAAGCCTAGTCTTCAAAAATAAATGGGACTATTGACTATTGCCCAATATTGAGAAACAAAGTTGGTATTGAAGAGGATTGAAAAATACAGTTGCCTTGCCAGGTAGATAGGGAATTAGGCAACTTTTATAAAATCTAGGTATGCAAACTAGATCATAAACAGGCTCACTTTCAAAGACTTCTGCTGTAATTAATGTATATAAACCTTGCACAATTGAAACCTAGAATGTTTTGAGTGCTTCAGCCATAAGAAGGTAAGGTGTTTTCCAAATTCTTAAAAAGCAGTTAATAGCTAGGGAGACCATGCTCACATTTTATTTTGGTATTTGTATTAATTTCCTTAATCTCACCTAATCTTCTTTCTCTCTCTCTCTAGTTACCTGAACAAGAATAAATACCTGACAGTTATTGACAAAGATGCATTTGGAGGAGTATACAGTGGACCAACTTTGCTGTGAGTAAGACATACAAAAGAATATTTCAGTCCTTTTTAAATTTAATTTATTTTTTTTGGAAGGGGGGCACTAAGAGGAGCAGCTGACGCTCATGGGTAAGGAATGTTGTTGTCTGGATAAAGGCTTCTGCTAGTACTTTTCTGCCAAGTTGTATAGGCTACTGCTTAGAAAACAGTCCTTGTTCGTTGAGACTCAGAAGGCCCCATGCTCCACTGCACCATCCTGATGCTTGAGCAGGCAGTCATCTTGGTGTGGACGTTCTTGGAAGCCCTCTTTTGGAAAAAAGACAGAAATTTTTGAGCAGCTGCTGTTGGCAAAATTCTGAGACACAAGGTCTACAAATAAGTGGAAAGAACCCTAGTCTTTGCAGAGAAAATGGTATATGAATATGTATTGCCTTGCACAAAGAAGGAAGACTGTAAATGGTAATTCGATTCATACCTGGAAGAACTTATCATCATTGGGGAAGATGGGATGTAAACATTTTCAAAAACAGCATGGAAAAAAGTACCTATTTGTGCATTTCCTCTGATTTACACCTCCACGTGCAGTCAGTGATCAAGTTCTGTCAGTGCTGTCTCCCTCAAGGCTTGTTATCAGCACTGTCTTCTCCATCCCCTTGGTTTGGCCTAGTTTAGAATCTCATCTTTGAGCATCTGTTCAAGTCCTTGCCAAAGTGGAACACAACACCCCAGGAGAAGCGCAAGACAATTAGGAAAGGCAAAAAGAAATTAGAGGTCTATTTATACTTATGTTTTTAAAAAGTAGAATAAATTAAGTTTTACTAATATTTTATATACAGATGACCACTGTCCCTCAGGTATCAGGCAATGGATGCATCCCAAGGGAACGGTGGGTGATCCAGTCTCAAGGACTTAAGATCCTCACTCCTTCACTTTTAACAATTTTACTTCACTTTTAGACTGAATGCACTCGATGAGGTGGGTTTATGGCCTTATTTTCTTAACACATAGGCTCCGTATAAGAGGACATAGTTAAGCTGAAAATCTACTGTACCATAACAGGGTTCATTGTTAACTAGAAAAAATATTTAAAGGTATTATGCATTTTTCTTTTTACAAAAAGACAAATTTTTTTAAAGTATTGACCTTTTATATGATTTTTTTTTAACCTGGAAGATATTTTTTAAAGATATCTTTAACTGTTCCTTCAAGATAAAGGTGATATATCACTAACAAATAAGGAAAGTTGTTGCTTTTCTAAAGAAATCTGTGCTGTGGAAAGAGTCTTTAGAAACAGGTATCTGGAAACATTTCCATGTTATGTGATTTTCCTGGTGAAAATGTTGGATGGATGTCACTTATAAAAATCCTGTCTTGTTAAAATGAGAAATTGAATTTTAACCTGTTTTAAAATCTTTCAAATTAAGAGTGGCAAAGGGTTTAAAATCATTATGTACAAAATATGAAAATGAAGCACCTTCAGATCAGATTGCAAAAACAACTGATTGACATCCGAGAATAGGAATTTCAATACAAACATGCATTTAATTACTGAATTGGATTGAAAGATGATAATCTTAATTTAATAAGTAGAGCCAAGCCTGCCCTATTCCACTTGGAACCATCTATCTTTGTGAGGTAACTTTTTCAATTGACAGCCGTTGAAACCAAAACCAAAATAAACTGAACCAGAAGCAGACATCTGGACAGCTATATCAGAAAGGGTTAAATAACAATTTTCAAAATTAGTGAAGTATATTTAATAACACTGTTTTCACTTTAGTGAAGTATTTTTTAGATATTATTTATTTATTTTCATCTTATCCTTTTAAAATATATGCTTAGTGTGTTTTATAATGTATATAATGTAGTATTGCAGTAATATGTGTATAGAGCTCATAAATATACATATGTTAGAAATGTATACTCAAACACTTTTTACTTATAAATACATAAAATTGAAAGAATTTGAAGATCAGTGGTGTAGACCAGAACCACTCAAAGTGCGGGTCCTTTACAAGGTGAAGAGCTAGTCTCAGATTGTACATCAAAGCACAGTTTCCTTTGTGGAGAAAGTCTCCCCATGAGAGCAAAGTTGGCCAAACTAAACAGAGTGCTTAGTGAAGTAGCTGGCTTACATTTCAGCAGAAGCTTCTTACCTTATCAAGAACTGGTAAGAAACAGTTAGCCAATGGGCACTACGCTTTGAGTAGCACAAGTCTAGATGGCAAGTCTCCAAATCTCCCCTTGCCTTCCATCTTGGTCCCTTTAACCACAACATCCACAAAGCTCTGTGTGTTCAAATGCAAATAGAATCTTAAAACCCAATGCTGGTCTCCCATTCCCCTCAGGATAAAGACCTTAGTGTGGTACACAAGGCCCTGCTATAATTTTCAACTTTTCTCTAACACCACTATACACCCCTAACCAGTGATCCATCCATATTCAACATTTTAGCTCCCCTCTTGCTCCAACCTACTTATATAGCTGTGCTAAACTCTTGCTTTTCCTACTGCTTGGAAACCCTACCACAACCTTATCTGTCTGATGAGCACTACTACCATTTTGACATTCAAGTAAAGATCTCCTCTCTGAAGTCATTCTTGGCCTTCCTTCTCCTTAGGGAAAGATGACAATTTCTTCCTCTATTCCCCACCACCTCTATGTATGCATCTCATGGCACCAGTAACATGTTTCTGCCTTTATCTCTAGGCACTCCTAGAGAGCAGGGGCTATGTCTGTTTCATTTCTACAGTTCTAGTTCATATTACAATGGCTGAAACACAGTACTAGTTTAACAAATGTTTGCGAAATTAATACAGTATACAATAAATATTTGAATCACACTTCGGTAAATGCTATAGTATTTAAATAGCAGTCACATTTTAAAGATAATATAGCATGTTGTCCTTAAGGGAGAGTGTCCATTTCTACTTCTTTGGAAGTGGTAAATTAAACTACCTATTTTTTTGTGCTGCTTAAAAGTTGTTTTGATAGTCTTGGTAAGATTTTTTTACAAGACTCTCTAACCAAGTTAAGACAGGTGTGCAACTGCTTGAAAATGCCCTTCCTGCTTGCTAGAGGCATGCTCGATTATGAAAAGTGGACTAAATTCGGAGCTAGACCTGGAGGAGTTGATTCCTGGCTCCATCTCTAATTGTGAGACCCAAGCCTCAGTTTTCTTATTTGTCAAAACACAGTAACTAGAAGTAGTGAAGCTAAAATAAGAAAATAAATCTAAAGCACTGAGTATCTGCTTAGTAATGTTAAATATTATGATTACCTCCACTTCTTCCTGTCTCTTGACACTTCATTATTCTTGTCTTTCTTAACCGCTCTGATCACTCTTCCTGATTTCTCTCTAGAACTCCCTGCCCCAGTATTTCAATGGGGCTCAGTCCTGGGCGTTGGCTCTATCTCCTCTATATCTTCTCCTTTGGTTAAATCATTTGCTCTCAAATATTACGAGAATACAAATGATTTCTAAACTTCAGCTTTCAGACCTTCATTCTTATTTAGCCATCAAGCCTGCCTGAAAGTCCCTCACTCCTCCTTCATTCCTGCCAGTTCCCATCAGTTTCATTAAACTCTTCCCACCAACCTTTGAAAACGTACAGCAAACATTGACTAAGCACTTGCTAAACTCTAGACTCTTCATGAGGAGCTTTCAACAGGAGAAGGTCACTCATTGGAAGGCTGGTCAGGGAAAGCCTCATTGAGAAGGCGACAACTGGGAAAAGACCTGAAAGTCACAAAGGAGCAAGTTATGTGGCTATTTGAAGAAAGAACATTCTAGACAAGTGCAAAGAGCTTAATGTGAGGGAAAACCTGGTATGTTTGAGGGATAGTAAGGAGGCCGCTGTAGCTCAAGCAGAGTGAACTAAATTAAAAAAAAAAAAAAGCAGGAGTTGTAGTCAAAAGATAATGGGATGGGGAGAGCAACTTGTGGATGGCCTTAGAGGTCATTGTGAAATCTTTGATTTGCTCTTAGATAGAGGGGAGCCACTGGAGCTTTTTGAATATAGAAGTGCCATGATGTGACTTATGTTTTAACAGGGTCACACTGGCTGTTGTGTTGAGAATAGACTGTAGGGGACCAAGCAGGAAGATTACTTAGAAATATATCAAAATAATGTAGGCAGGAGATGATAGCAGCTTGTACCAAGGTAATAGCAGTGGAGATGATAAGAAATAGTCATATTCTGACTGTATTTTTAAGGTAAAGCCAACATAATGTGCTGATAAATGTGTATAGGGAATGAGGAAAAGAGAAGAATCAAGGACAACAGCCAGGGTTTGGTCCTGAGCAGCTAGACAAATGAGATCATCATTTCCTGAAACAGAGAAGACTGTAGGAGGAGTTTGTATGAGGGGGAAGAACAGTTTGAGGGACCTGTACACATCCAAGCAGGCAGTGATATGTGTGGATGTGAAAGTTACGATAGAGATTCCCAGACCCAAGGATCCCCAGACCTTTGGGGGAAGCTGTAGACATGAAAAACAGAGAGGAGAACTTTAAAGGAATAGAGACAACACAAGAAACAGAAGAAAACTTTAGTAAAACGTTATAACAAATATCCTCAGAGAGATAATGTTTTACATCCATAAAATGATTCCTTATATAAGAATATTAAGAAAACAAGAAAGAGCTCTTGACTCCTAGAATAAAACATAGGGAAAAAGCTCCTTGACATTCATCTTGGCAATGATTTTTTGGGTAGGACACCAAAACCACAAGCAACAAAAGCAAAGATAAACAAGTGGGACTACATCAAACTACAAAGCTTCTGCACAGCAAAGGAAACCATCAAGAAAATGAAAAGGCAACTTATAGAAGGGGAGAAAATATTTGCAAATCATATATCTGATAAAGGGTTAATATCCAAAATATACAAGGAACTCATACAACTCAACAGCAAAATACTCCCCAAATAATCAAATTAAAAAATGAGCAAAGGACCTGAATAGACATTTTACTAAAGAAGACAAATGGCACACAGGTACTTGAAAAGGTGCTCAACATCACTAATCATCAGGAAAATGCAAATCAAAACCACACACCTGTTAAAATGGCTAGCATCAAAAAGACAAGAGAAAACAAGTGTTGACAAGGATGTGGAGAAAAGGGAAACCTTGTGTACTGTTGGTCGGAATGTAAATTAGCACAGCCATTATAGAAAATGATATGGAAGTTCCTTAAAAAATTAAAATTAAAACTACCCTATGATCCAGCAATTCCACTTCTGGGTATTTATCCAAAGGAAAGAAACCATTTATCTTGAAGACGTATCCACACTCCCATGTTCATTGCAGCATTATTCACAATAACTAAGGCATGGAAACAACCTGAGTGTTCATTTGATGAATGTATGGACAAAGAAAAACATGGATAAAGAAAAAAGATAAAGAAAATATTATTCAGCCATGAGAAATCCTGCCATTTGCGACAACATGGCTGAATCTTAAGGACAGTATGCTAAGTGAAATAAGTTAGGCAACAAAAGACAAATGCTGTATGGTCTCACTTATATGAGGAACCTAAAAAGCCAAACTCATAGAAACGGAGTAGATTGGTGGTTTCCAGGGTCTGGGGGTTCGGGGAAATGGAGAAATGTTAGTCAAAGAGTACAAAAATTCCAGTTATAAGATGAATAAGTTCTGTGGATCTAATGTACAGCATGGTGACTATAGTTGATAATATTGTACTGTATACCTGAAAGTTGCTAGGAGAGTAGATCTTAAATGTTCTCACCACCAAAAAAAAAGAAGCAGCAGTAACTATGTGAGGTGATGGATGTGTTAACTAACCTTATTGTGTTA